TCAGGGGCCTCAAGGGAGCTGGCAGCGGAAGGAGCCGGCCTCAGCAGGGGTCAAGGGCCTCAGGGGGGTTGGCGGGGGGGAGGGGTCGGCCAGGGCAGGGTTTGGGGGGGCTGGGGGAGTGGGTGGGGCCATTGGGGATCCCCTATGTCCCCCTCCTCCAGCTTCGCTGACCCCTTACTCACCAGCACTGGAGCCCTGGTGCTGAAACATGTGGCTGGGCCAGCCGCATGTTTCAGCACCAGGGTGAGGGGCCAACCATCAAGACGCTGTGGCAGCCAGAGTGGACCCAGCCTCTGGTTGCCTCAGGGCACGGTACAGGACCGTGCCCTGCCCTGCTTCTTTAAACTTTGATTATTTTAGTCCCCTGGATATCCAGGGGTCTAATTTTCTGCCCGTGCTGCAAGTTTGTAGCATGGGGAACATTTGTGGCAGGGCAAGAGGCACGTGTGTGCTCATCTGGACACGCCCTCTGAGGGTAAAAACTGACCAGCATTTTCATCAATCATCAGCCATGGCATGGTATAGGCAGAGCATGGGGGATGAATGAGCCCTGGAAGAGGTTGGGTGTTTCTACCTTGTTTGAAGAAAGGCAAAAGACCACACCTCCCAAAAAGTACTTTCTTTTCCCATTATATTCTTCTTACCATCAAAGGTGTGGCAAGTGAGTACAGAAGGAAAACAGGTGGAGATCCAGGCAGAACAGGATCAGCCTTAAGTTACTGAAAGGTTACTGGGAACTTTTACAGAAAACAAGACTTTTTTTTTTCCCTGAAGGAGAAGGAGAGCTAGTGATGAGATGAATACGATGCTTAAAGGCCCAAATGTTACAGAATTTTTTCACAAAATGAAATATTCTGTTTCTGTTTCTCAAATGGAAAACGTCTCAGAGACACGCTACATCTTGGGATGCTATTTAACGTAACGACAGATCTTCGTCTGGTGGCAAGTTGTCTTGCTATCAGCTGGCTGTGATAAGCCCCAACGGATTTAGTCCTTTGGCTGAAGCAGAAGTTTGTCCTGCAATACTAAGGGAGAAATTTCAGATCTTGTTTATAACTCATACTGCTGCAGGCTGTTCTGCTAAGGTAAAGAAAGCTGAACCTAGTGGCTTAAGCCACCACAGGACTGCCCCACAAGAAAACTGATGTATTCTGCTGTGTTTGCTTGGGTTTGCCACAGCCCCAGATAAGAACGGCAGTCATGGCTGCATGCACACTGGAATTATGGTTTCTGTGGTCAATGTGTGTTCAGTGCTGGGAGTTCTATGAGTGCAGCTCAGGGATCTTAGAGCTTTCGTGTCTTGGAACTGCTTTATGACTTAGTTTGCAGTATATTGTGAAAGAACCTCTCTCTCCTTCTCAGATGGCTTGTGTGGAATCTGCATACATATACAGATGTCAAATCACCCACTATTCAAAGAACCTCAACAACATGAGCAGCTGAGTGAAGCACTATGGTGCTGGGCTTTTTAATAAAAATGTATGTCTTACTTCACAAAAAAGTGTATATAAAGCAACAAAAATTAAACTATTCCTGGAAAATGTCAGTAGAGAACTCAAACAGGAGTACTTTCAGTTTTGTCCTAAACCACATCTTTCAACACAGTTGAAATCATCTTACCTTGCATGACAAAGCACCATATGCAGATTTGATATCTGTAGTGCCAGTGCAAGAAAATAGTCTATATCTAACTTATCAATACCTTTTCTGTGGTGCTTATCCCAGCTGTATCAGCACCATTTTTTTTTACTTATTTCCAAGATAAAAACTGAAAATTGTCCAACAAGCAGGATAAGGTTTTGTTATAACATTCAGTATTTTACACACACACACACACACACACACACACACACAAAAGCATAGTTCAGTCATAGGTGCGAATGGCAGTGTGTAGGTAAAGTGGGGATTTTTTCTATTACTAGGAAAATCATCTGCTTGTGGTATCCGCTATATGTATGGCTGGAATGTAGGTCTGCACAAAGAGGTTGGAAGACTGAATCATATTTAGTAAGGCTGTGTGAAGCTTTGGGTGCTGATTTGACTCGGAGGAGATTCAATCCAATTCAGTGGCTGAATCTCCAAATCTGAATCGAATCAGGGGACCAATAAAAAGGTCTGAATTGATTCAAAGCTCCCGGAATCTTTGGAAAAGAGGTTACAGTTTTTCATTTTCACACAAAATTCATGCCTGTGTACCTTTTAAGACAGCTGTTACTGCTCCCTTTTAAATTGTGCCAATTTTGTATATTATTTTGAGCCAGTCTTCTGTATCTAACAGTGCTATTTCTCATTCCGGTCCAGGTATAAGTTTATCTATTCATGGGGCTGAAAAGTGTGTTCCAGTCTATCAGAGGAGAAGTGCGGCAAGCCATTCAGTATCACAGTGTCTGCCTGTGGTTAGGCATTCGTCGCTCCCACAAGTCAGAAGGTCAATAAAAATGGAAGCCTCATCTTATGGAACTGGTATATCAGCAGTCACTAATGGGAAAACAAAAATCCATCAGCCAGGTAACAAATTTGGTTAGACAACACTTTTCAGTTTGGTTTATAGCCTGGCATTTGCTACAAACTTTGTGTTCATAATATCAGATCATGCTTGCATGGGAAATCAATATATTGATCAAAGTATCAATAGATTGATGTTCATTCTGCCTGTTTTTGGTGCGCTTGTTTACACCTATTTTGGATATCTGAGAAAAAGCAAGAGTTGGGACAGCTAGGTGATTATTTTTAAATAATATCCAAAACACTGCCATCTGCTTTGGCCTTTTGCTGGAAAATGCTGCTTTATATAGGCTTAACTTGGGTTAGACACGACACTGAAGTTCTGTAGGCATCGCTCCACAACTCAGGAATCCACCCTGGAAGTATTTTTTAATTGATAATGAAAGCTTGGTGTAGACTGGAAGAGTCTTGAGGACAGAAGGAGCACTTTACACAACATACTAACTGGATAGCAAAATGAAACCCTTTTTAACCGTCTCCTGGAAGCCCTCAATTCCTACCTAACATATTGAATTATTTTTAAGCTAATTTCCAGATCTGTTTTTTAACATTTAACATGCAGTCAACAGAAAAAAATGTCTTATACCAAAATAAGATCTCTATATCTATATCTATATATATCTGTTTCTTCAGATATTTTTTGCAAAGAAAATGAAAGTTCAAGTTTCCTCAGATAGACTAAGTGGAGATCAGGACTGTGAACTAATAAGGTAGCATTTAGTTGGCTCTCATAATTAAAGACTTCAAAAAACTTAATTGTTCTAAACTTAAAAAGGACATTGCTGCAGTACATACGTAAATGGAATCTACTCTCCCAAACTGTAACGAATTGTGTGTGAAATAAGGACAATGCCGCATGCAACCCCTTGTGTGTTACATCAACATAATCTTTTCAAATATTTAGTAAATGCAGTACACTTACTGCAAAATGGTTATGAACTAAGTTGGTATACAGCTTTTATTGCTGTGAGTTTCAGATGATGATGTTGCTAACAAAGTTTCATCACTAGATATGGAAATCTCTCTAAGCATTTGTTAATTAAAGTGTTATAGTAACACATATTCTTGCATATTTTGTTTGTCTCTGTTCATTTCTTGGTTCTTTATTTTTAGGTTCTATCTATTTTTCCCTCCTGTTGAAATGCATAAGTTACTACTGAAACAATGTACTTGTATTAGGTCTTCAAACTGCAGCATAATATTAATTGATAATATTTTTTTGAAATGTATGAAGTGTTGTGAAATACAGGTTTTATGTAATTATCATCAACATATACATAGTATGAACACCATTTATTTTTGCACCGATCTCCTCTGTCATCCATTTACTTATATCTTAATATTGACTAGTATATGTAAGACATAAACAACAAATATTGATCCTGATTTGGGAAAATGCTCCTTCAGAACTAAAGTCTATGTCATAGTGCTCCTTCCTGAATGGGGGCCATTAGGTATGAGACTTTGAATGACACTTTTTGGAGGAATCTAGTGTCCTATAAAAAATATGGAATTAGTTATGTTCCACTATTATAGTGGTTTTCAACCTTTTTTTCATTTGGGGACCCCTAAACATTTTTGAATGAAGGTACAGACCCCTTTGGAAATGTCAAATGGAGATGCGGACCCTTTTGAATTGTAAATGTGGGTTTTCACATACCATAGTCATAGTGATCGATCATAGTCATCTTTCATAGACCTATTAGACATAGTCCGTGGACTCCCAGGGGTTGTTCAACCACAGGTTGAAAACCACTGGACTATTAAAAACCTAGTTCATCAGTAGCCTTTGTAGAATAATAGGCTGTCCAGTTTAGGGCACTGAACTTCTCTGAAGCTAACGTGAACTCCAGCTTCATAAAGCTTTGCAGGTCCTGAATCTGTACTAATAAACAGTATTGCTTTTTTCAGTTCCACAATAAAACTATGGTATTGTAATTTGGAACTTAAATTTTCTGTTGTAGATCACAAATTTAGCTCTCTATATGAGTTAAATAACCTAATTCCAAGAGTTTTGTGTTCATGCAATTATAATAACTTTTCCTCTGCAAAAGTTGAAAACCTGTTTTATTAATTCATACTAAATTACAACTTAATTGTTGATTCCTTTAGTTCTAGAAATAACTAGTTAAACACTTTTTAAACCAATTGATTAATTGTATTCAAAGCCATAGATGAGAAACGGGGTAGTGGTGGAGAATAGAAAAGGTTCTTATTTATATTAATACAAGGAATAATCTAGATAAAAATATTATGTTCTCATACTATGCTTCTGCCATGCCAGAGTTGTCACATACCATATATTCTCAAGTTTTTTCTTCAGTCTGATTTTAAATAATTCAAATCATTGGCTATTTCCTTCCCTTGAGGTTTATTCACACAGTCAGATTGATCTCATTGTTAGAAAAGTTTGCCTTGTATTCTGCCTTTTTTTTGCTAAGCTAAAAGCTATTAAAATGTGAAGAGATGGGTATTAATAAATATAGAGTGGTGCTATGAGAACTTAAAAAGGTGTGTCCAGCTCTTATCAATTATTGAAGTGAGAGTGTAGGAAAAAATGACACTTTTAAAAAGGAAGTGTATTTTCTTTCTCTGACAGCAAACTGCTACTGTTTTCTATACCCAAAGTCATTTCACTGTCATTTCTCTTGCTTCCCAAAAAAGCACATTTCGTTGATAAACACTTCTTATATATCAATTGAGCTTTTTTTTCATTATTATTATTATTTGGCTACATGTAATAACAGACATAACTGGGCAGTTCTGTACCCTAGGTAGTGGCAGAACTGCATAGGGCTGCAGTCAGGCTGCTGGCAGTGGTCAGGGAGGGGCAGGGTAGAGCATAGTAGCTGCTGTTTTTGCACTCCCCCTCCAGAGTTGGCACCCTGAGGCTGCTGCCCCATTCATCCTTCCCCCTGGCCCTTAGTGACACTACTGTATAATAGGAACCTAAACTCTAGTCAGGAAATGTTACTGATTTTTTTTTAAGTGTGGTCAGACTTTATCTCTATCGTTCCTTTGCCAAGTAGTCTTTCTTTCTAGTTTTTTCCCTTCCCAATTCCAAGCTGCTGCAATTGGATGGGTTATACTGACTATCACTCTGGGTATTGTTATTTCTACACCAAAAAAGTCATCATTTTACTTGAGGGGGTGGCAAAAAATTCACTATTTTAGTAACTGCCCTTAAACTAAGCTCCTCACACCAATGGCTACTGTAATACAATTACATGTAGCCTGTAGAGTGTTTTGTTTACAATTGCCTTTCTTCTTCTGTGTCTATTTCTGGTGGTCTCGATCCATCTCTTCGTGCACACCTCATCTCACATTCTGCTTCCCTTTGATCAAATGGAGAGATACAAAGTGACAGCAGAGAGAACTTCTGGGTTACCTTGTTGGTTTTCCAACTGTTTCCACACTCTCCAGGCATTTTTAAGTACCGAGAGCCCTGAGTCTGTATCAGTTTAGCTAAGGAATGAATGAAAGAAACTGGCTGTTTTAATTAAATTGCTGTTATATTATATCTTTAAATTAGTGCAACTTGTGTGTACTAGTCAAACCCAGAATGTAGTACTCTATGGACTTCATTTCCATTCTGAAGCTGCAGCTGGTTTGGGGAAGTTTTCTAATTTCTAGAAAAGTATACAACCATATTTAGAAAAGGGAAATTTGTAGCTGATAGGGTATTGGACTCAAAGCAACTAGGTCAGGTCATCAGCTGTTGTAAACTGTCTAAGGTCCATTGCGCTTGTTTTTAGTATAACCAAACTTAGCACAACTTGTTCTGATTAGCACCTGTACAAACTGTCTCAGGATGAGGTCCAAGGATTGAAAAAACATGGAGGCTAAATTTTCCACTTGCTGTGCCAGGGCAAAGGCAAATTTGAAACAAAAATGAGCTCACGTTGCTGACATTTATGCTGTTCCCATCAATGAACAGAATTTCAGGTTCCAATCTGTCAAATGGACATTTTTTATAAACATCCCACTTAACTTTTAAAACATATATTTTGTTTAGTACATAAAGGAAAATCAATATGCACAGAAATACATGGAATTATTGCACATTAATCCGGCAATGATTTTCCAGGATAAGTTTATGTAATCTTTCCTAGCAAAACACAGATTATACTTTTTCTTTTACCTTCATGGGACTTTGTCTTTGAAAGTTTGTTTTGTTTTTTTTTACAGAATTTAATGAATGTGGGTCTTCTTTAATCCAGAAGACTAAGAACTGCTTAAGTAGTGTATTTATGTTTAAAAGTTTAACAATCTTCCCCAAAAGTCAAAGCAAAGTAAAATGTTAGGTTGTTTTTTTTTTTCTATACCAAATAGATAGCATGTAAGCTTATTCATGTTATTCAACAGGAACACCTGTTGAACTCACTAATTCCTTTCATGCAAACAGAAGTTTAGTATGCCTGTTATAATTCACTTACAATCTTTTTGTCAAGCTCCTACTGTTTATTGCAAATAGTAGAAGATGGAGAAGTTAGAAAGAAATTGAAGAAAAATGTAGATTGCCTTGGGCATGATTTCTCTGATTTTTAGGAAGCTGTTTTTGTTTTGTATGGTTCAGTGAATTAGTTCACTTTCATTAATTCTTTTAGTTGCAAGGCATGAAATAAGAAAAAAGAGGTAGTGGAATTGTTTGGTAGAACCATTGATTTTAGGAGGCCCTGAAAAATGTGTAATGTTAGCAATTGTGGCAGTCAAAAAATGAGCAAAAAAAGCCACCCAAATTTTAAAAGGGATTGTGTACTTTATGGCTAAGTACAGAAAGTTAAGAAGCCCAAGGCTGAATCAGTTCAATCTTCGCAGGTTAGTCCAAGCTGCATAGGTTGAACTGATAAGCAAGTGAATAGACATTTACTTCTAATTCCAGAAACGTGGCCACATGCCTGCAGTGGCCCAAGACAGAAGCTGGGGGGCACTAGAGAACACCTCCCTGCTCTGCTGGAGCAGACAGCTTGAGTCAAGGCTAACCTGCCCACCCTGCAAGGGGG